CTTATCCAATAAATTCTAATCGAAATCTACGCTTTACTTGAAAAGATCTTGGGAAATTTCTACTCGTAGCTTTCAAACACAAAATATTTTCCCGTGATTCCCATCACACAACATTTATATAATGTCCATAAGCCGCACAATTCCCGTTATATTTCGCCGCGAATAACGCGTGATCCTCCAACCGGAACCAAACCGTCAGTCGGAGGATTTATCGTGGATCGCGATAACAGGTTTCGATCATTCATTCTAGAAACTGAAATACATCTATTAACGTGTTTACCCTGTCACAGCAGACATTGCCCGCTTATATTTTCAATGTACAATGGAGAAAGCGAAGGCTTAAATAATTACATAAATCACCGTGATATATCGCGTAGTTGTTGATTAAAACTCGATTTAAATAATCGCATCGATGTACAATGTTGAGTCGGAATAAATCGAGATGAAAAATGTCGCTTTATCAGTCTCTTAAATCGCTCGAAAAATATCACTGAAAGATCCGAGGTGGCAGGTGTCCGCGAAGTAATGATTTCGCGACACCGTAATTCTTCGCCAAGTTACACCCGGATAGCCATAATCAAACATCGCGTATCAACGCGACTATAGAAGGAGGAACGCTATTAAGCAGAGGATACTTAATATTCCGTCGGAGGATGCTTTCATCGTGAAATTTGATGGGCCTCGTAAAGACGAGAAGACCAGAATCGAGCCCTGGTACTCGGGGGTACTTCATTCTTCTCTCATTTCTCCCCCTCGTCATCAACAAGTGCAATCGCTCTCGCGAAAATCCAATCTTCCTTCCGTCCGCGCTCCAATTTGACGTCAATTAAATCGCCGGACCCGTATCAATTTTCGGGGCGGCTAATGACAAAACGTCGACGGCGACCACCGGCAGGTCTACCACTCGGATAGACTCGTGCAAGGTGATTTCCGCGCCGGCGAGACTTTCGATTAATCCCGGCCGCTACCCCTTTTTTCATCCTACCTGTCGGGAGAGAACGCGCATTAAGGGACCCCCACGAAATAGCGACTTTTTGTCGCGACGCGCGAGCCGCAAGTTTCTGGACCCTTGAGAAATGGCCATGGATCGGTCTTCCCTCCGCCCAATAACGTCACCTTCGTTCTTCCTTCGTGGAAGGCGATCTCATCGCTCCCTCTCTCATGACGCCCGCGACAAAATGAAATAACCGGCCGTCGAAGCCGATGGCGAAATTACGGTCGCTGGCAATCGTATCCACTCTGTATAAAAAGTGACTGCCGTCATCGCAGACACTAGGACTCGGAGAATACAAACTGTCCCGGAATATTGAATAAAGGAATGTGTCTCGAAGAAAGACAGAATGCAATTAGGCCCTTCGCGGTTTTAAAACACATATAACAATTGATTTGAGGCCGAAAGAAAGAGATAGAGAGACTATATTTGAGTGAAAAAATTGACTAATTATCAGATAATCGTGACGTAAATATATATTTACAATATTTTAATTAAAAGATAATAATTATATAATATTAATATTAGTTGTAAAATTAATATTAATATTAATTATATATAATGTTACATAATTAAAATATATAATACTGTCTCGAAAAATTATTATATAATATAATTATCAATATTGTTTTATATATATGTCATAATTACACACACTAGTGAATGTATCGGTTCACTTGTAGATAGATTTATTTAGTCACTTCGTGGTGTCAATTTTGGAATATTTATTTCGATCATGTAAGATATTTATACTTGTCGATTAAACTTTATTGAGAGAGATACGTTCGGCTTCTCCATCGATTACCCTTATTAAGCTTGCACGATCGTGAGCCAGGAAGCTTCTCGTGCCGACATAAACGCGCTGCGCGTCGCGGCTAGGTTCGATCCTGAACACTGAAGTCTTAATTGGCGCTAAGGGTTCAATGCTTATCGAATGACTAATTAATTAAGACGAGCGATCATTAATTAATTGCGGTAGAAAAATCCGGCTTGACTCGAAACGCGACGTGGCACTTCCTATCTCGTTTAACCCCCATGAAATTTTAAACATTCTTGGAACGAAAGTTTAGAATTTGCTAATATATTAAGCAATATTTTTTTAGGAATAACATGTTTGTATTATATACATAATTGAAAATTCTTGGCAGTTGCTTCTCTTTTTTTTGTAAAAAAGTGCACAAGTATTTTTAAAGATCTCCCATGATAGATAAAAATTAATTTAATAGCAATGTAATTTTATTATTTTATTGGTTATTTCGAATTCTTTATCTTATTAATATTATTTTCCCTAACATATATATAAAATGTAAATTATTCTTCTTTTTATTATTATTATTTTCTATTATTATTTATTTCTTTCTATTATTTCTATTATTATTTTATTATTATTCTTATTATTATTTTCCATAACATATATGTAAAAGTAGTAACAATTTCTGCAGCTCTGCTAATGCTAGCAAATTTTAAATTTTCTTTCAAGAAAATAATATTTTTAATTCAACGATAATTATGCAAAATTCTAGAGAAAATTTGTTGTTTTTTAAATAAAATAGTTAACTCGATACTTTTCATCACGCACAAGTCTCGTACATTTCGATCGCCGATCAAAATTAAGCACGGAGAAAAATTCAGATCCACTTTCCAATGTGGAGCATTATGTGGCGAAACAAGATGTATTCTCGAGTACACAACTCCTGTACCTGCATTGTCCGTTCTTGCAATCTTGTTTTCTTGAATGCAAGTGGAACGAATCTAACATTCTTGCCAATCTATTGAGAGTGCGCTATCATCAGCTCTGAAAGAGAAAGAGAAGGAGAATGAGAGGAAGATAATCTACGTGCGATCGAGCCTTTCGAAAATCGAATGTATCGGGAATCATTCGCGGTCAGTCACGCGGAATAATGGATTAGGCGAGGGAGACTCATTGGGTGCCTTAACGTGTAGGGTGGCTCCGAGCCCCAGGATATCAAGAAGAGATAGTAGACGACTGATCGGGGAAAATGCGGATCATCTCCCAGCACTTGGAAAACACGCCCCGTTGGGCATCGTTCTTCTTTTTGCCCGTAGACCATTATCCTCCGCATATAATGTGGGTAAACAAGTAAAAATTAAACTTTAAATTTCATCATCTTCGTCGACCGAGGGTTGCACCAATAGTATATCCTCGAAAAATATATCCTTCGCAAATAATCGATCGATAAGCATTGAATGTCGGATATTTAAAGGGAATATTAATTTTAAATATGAAAAAAATATTACGTTGTATTTTTTTTCAAATATTTTTTAATGGTTTTTTTGAGAAAGAGATATTAATATACAAGTATATTATTTATATTAATTATAATTATTATTATTGAATTTATTTAATTATTATTAATTATAATTATATAATTTAATTATTATTAATTATAATTATATATTAGTTATGTTAATACATAAAAAAGTTATATATTTAAAAATATATTGCTTGAGAATGATACGTTATATATGTCTAATAAAATGTGTCTTTATTTAAATAAATATATAATTGTTTTTATATTAATATAATTAATAATTATAAATTTATATACACACATATATGTTGTGCTTTTTTGCTACACTTGTTAGCAAAAATTAAAGGATCTTTCGTAATGAATCTGATTACTGAAAATGAGTTTTTATGTCGAGTTTTCAAATCGTATTGGCATCATTTGGAAAATTTCCAAGGTATACCATGCAAACAGTTTCGCGCAAACAATTGTTTTTATCTTCATCCTTTCCAAATTATTTTTACCTTCGTCCTTCCCAAATATACACTAAATCCCGAACACGTTCGTCATTTCGCGGTTTATACATATTTACCTTGCCGCCAAGCAAACGGAGCGTGTTTCGGACACGAAAATAGCGATTAAGGTATTGACTCGAGTACAATACATCCCCGATCAGGGATTAAGAATAGCATTCTTTCTCACAAAAAATAGTATATTTAAAGTATGCAAAGAATTTAATATTGCCAATGTTTATCCAACATTTTGCTCCGAAAAACATAGAGAATATTTCTCACAAGAATTCAATTTAATTTTTAATTTATAACCACAGATTTTTATTATTTTATATATTTTATATATTTATATAAATATTATAATATAATTATATATTTTATATATTTATATAAAATATATAAAATAATAAAAATCTGTGGCTATAAATTAAAAATTAAATTGAATTCTTGTGAGAAATATTTTATATATTTATAGCCTTTTATATATTTTTATATTTTATACTTCTTATATTTTTATATGCTATACTTCTCATCTCTGTCTAACATCGTTGTTAAAATATAATATATAGAAATCTATATTTACAATTCATAAACAAGCCTTTACATAAAGAAATATGTATTAAAAAAATATTCATATATAATACCATAAAAGCCGCGTGCTAAATAATTTGTACTTATTTAGAAAAAAATAATTTCTAATAATTTATAATATATTTATATTTCTAATATATTTTAATAATTTCTAATTTCACATTTATATTTAAAAATCAATTATTCAAAAAGACACATTTCACACCTTAATAATTTATACATTTAAAAAGCACTGCGTTAACATTTTCATAAATATTTAAAATCGCATTAAAGAAACCTAGCTTTGCCTTCATCTTACGCCGAATGGTGCAGTCGATCCTCAGGTGGCAGAATGCACGAGGGAGACGCTCTTGCGCAAAGATGCTGCCCCAGAGCAACGAGAGAGAGAGAGAGAGAGAAGGATAACGTCTCGATCGGAAGGGAACCTTTGAGTGCGAGCAGGCGCGAGCAGGAGAAAAAAGGGACGCGAAACTTGGCGGTGCGATGAGAAAGAGAAAGCGCTCGGCGTCGGCGGGGTAGGGTGCAGCAGAGCGGTGAGGGGGGAAGGGTCAGTTCGAACGCGTACCGTAGTGGGAGGTGGGAGGTCGATCGCGCGCGACGCTGGCGCCCCCTGAGGGGCCCGTGGCAGAAGGTAAGGTTAGTCAGTCGCCAGCCGCTCTAGACGACGCGCGTTTTATGCGCGCGTCCCCGCGTCCTGTCTCGCGTTTAGACCCCGATCATTTCTAAGAATCGCGATTAAAAAGGCGAACGAAGTGTGATTCGTGACACGTTGCAGTGAAGTGAAAAACGCGCGTCCTCTCGTCGGCCGTTATTAATTAAACCGGTAATTTACGCGAGTTCGAAAGCGACGTTTTTCTACCCCGCAGAAACTCGATCGTGACCGAAGGAGGCCGGAGACGCGTGGATACGCATTGCGTGCTGACAGGTGGTGCTTAGAACGGAAGCACGCTCGTAGGAAGTGCCGGATATTCTCACGGGGACGTGTAGAAAGCGTGTTTCGCGTCTCAAAATCGTCGGGTTTCCGCGGTTCGTGTTTCGCGGCCTTCGAAATGCGCAAACTTCAGATCGGCTGACCTCGCGCTAACTTTTCGACGGACAATTCCCGACGCTTTTAACCGCGTGTGTTTGGAGAGGAAAACTAGTAAAGACGTTTATATAAAATTAAAGAAAAATTACATAAAGGGACAGTGTGATTCAGAGATTCTGTGCGAGATAATTTCAAGTGATCGACATTCTTTAGTTGAGAAAAAACCGCGTGAAACGATGAAAATAATGACGGATGGTATTTCGACGTCGTGTCGCAAAAAAATGTCAGACAGTCGCGTCTCAAAATCACCGCGGTGATAACATCAACAAGGACATTATCGGGAAGGGCGTCGCAGTTGGATTATAGTGTAATTAGCGCAGTGTGATCGTCGATGCGTACATAAATCGTGTTTGTTAACTGATTGTATTTTATACGAATTTTTACTCCGGTTTTCTTCCCATCATTTTGGAGTTGGAGGTCTCGTGTGTTAGTCTTTCCCGAAGGCAGTGCGATAGTGAACCGTGTGCTTTAGGGAGTTAATATAAAAGTTCGTGTGAAAAAGAGAGGAGATATCGAGTGCGTTAAGTATTTGATCGATCGTTTCGTGGAACCGAGAGGAGGAGAGGCTGGGCCCGCGAACTCGGATCCCGCGCCTCCCGGTAATTTCTCGTTCTCGGAAAATGGAGTGAACATTCGCGCCTCTTCGTGGAAATATGAGGATTACGTTTCACTGCTGCGACCGTTCGTGGGCATCGATTACAAGCGAAAATGTATCTCACGCGCGTGCTTCTTCTACTACTGCTCGTTGCTGGCTCAAGGTGCGTTTGCTATTTTTTGCTAACAGATAGAAAAATTTGATGCATTTTTATTTCGCCATCCTCGCATAAAGCGAGGTAAAATGAAATAAAATAGTGCTTCGAATTTTTGCCCTCGATAAATATTCAGAGTTGAGCATAAAATAATATTTATCAGCATTTAAAAAAAAATGATTAGAAACGAAATATATAAATATATATGAACGAGAAATGTGGATATGATTATATGAAAGAGTTTATCGTGTGACATGTATAAATGTCATATTAGAATTAGACATTTATAAGTCGTAAAAAAATTTTCAAAAAAGAAAGAAATTTTTAAAATGAAATTATTAAATATATGAGAGATCTAACAATTATTATTATTATATATTTTTAGATAAAAGTTTCCCGAAAAAAAAAAAATGCCATTATATACACTTAAGAAAATAATCCACATAATTTTATTAATGTTTAAAATAATTATTGATTGAAACAGATGACATGATTACTGACGGTGTCATATTCTTTCGATTATTGTCATCGATATCGAAATCGATGGAATTGTTTTATGTTTTCGCAATTGGATCATCTTACAGATTTCTCGTGTCACATGGAAAATCGATACTGCTCACGTATCATTGATTTTCTTCACGCATTACGATTGATAAGGAAAATTATTATTATTTATTTATAAAAATTTCTAATTTAAATTATATAGTATCTAAAAAAATTACGATTTTCTTAATTATCATATTAAAGTCTTATTTAAATTTATTTATATATGCTTTATTTATTTTTTTTAAATTATAATATATTTATTTATATCTTAATTTTTTCTAATTATAATATATTTATTTATTTTTTTAAATTATAATATATTAAAGTCTCTTTTATATTTTTTATATTTTTCTACATTTTCTTTACTTCTTTAACATGTGCTCTCTTATCTTGCAGATGCATGTGCTCGAGCGGGTACACCGGACAAAATTGCGAGAGCGACTACATCCCCTGCGATCCTTCGCCATGTGAAAACGGGGGCTCGTGTCAACAGGTCAGCGAACTCGGCTACGCGTGCCACTGTCCCGAAGGTGAGTAGATTTTTTTCCACTTCCTATCACGCCGTAAAATCTCGCTCGTACTCTTCCAAAGCTAGCGAAAGATGAAACTTTTTCGTATCAACACGTACGATCTCCTCGCGTATATTTCGCTCCCCTTTTTTTCCCTCCGATCTTTCTCTCTCCCCAGCGTCACACGATTGCCGCCTCGGCCAAGGTCGACGAAAATTAATGAATGGCGGAATCTACGCGTGCGTCTCGGAGATTTTCAGAATCGCGATTCTGTGGGATCAGTTACACGTTATGGAGAAATGTAATTTGACGTTTGACCATCTGTCCTTTGTCTCCTGTTTCCGTAGCGCGGGATAAATAACAACTTTCGTCCTCCGTCATCTCGAAATTGTGCGATTTCCGTGAAAACCGTTTCGAAAACTCTTCTCACGAAGCGACGAAGTTCACACAAGCGTCTTGCGACATTTCGGGGGAACAAGAGTCTTTTCACCGACCGGTTAATTACGGATGTGTCCGGATAATTCACTGCGGGATTTTGGAAGCTTTTCGGAGATTGTCGCGCGTTCCACTCTGTTTGCTCCAAAAATGTGAGAGAAAAACCGCGGGCGCGAAAGAGAGAGAGAGAGAGAAAAGAAGGGAAAAAGAGAGAAAAGAGGAGGCTCTCGCGCAGCAGGGCAGTGATTACTCGGTGCAACAGGTACAATCTCGGCCAGGGGTGTCCGGCACGGTCATTTACGTACGTGTGTATACGGTAGACGGTTAATGCGAAGCCTAGGGTCAGCCTAGCGTGGCCTCCTCGCTCCCCGGATCACAATGCGTGGTCCTCTTTTTCCCAGGCGGACCACGACCATGGCGACCCCACCTTCCACTCGGCCCGCTCCTTTACTTCCCCTGTGTCTTCTCCCCCTCCTCCTCTTTCGTCCACCTCGCCGGCGCACCTTCTCCCGTTAAAGAAACGCGAGCGAGTCCTGCCTTTCCGCAGGTTCCTCGCTACTGATCGTTACACGCTTCCTGGTATTATTTTATGTACGCGATTATAAGGCTATTACAAGAGGGTACATGTGCGATATTACAACGTGTAATTTTTTTTTAAATGCGTGCATTGTTGATTTTATTTTTTACAATCATGGATATAAGTAGGTTGAATTTTTCATTCACTTAGATGTAGGAATATTTTAAGTGTCTTAGGCACCGGTTGCACCAACGTTATTCTACACAGAAAAAAAGGACATTCTTGTTTTGAAAATATATTTAGTTTTAACGTGGAAATCTTGAAATGAGATTATATCGCGTTAATTAAAGAAAAATATAATTGCTTGAATAATTGCTTACTTGAATGAAGCCATTTTATACAGTTTAATCGAGAAAAATATATTCTTATGATTTAAGATTTAATTGTCTTGAATGGAAAAGAAACAATGTTGGATAGAAAATAACATTTTTGAATCAAAGATTATAATTTTCTTAAAGTAGAATTAAATAATTATATATTCTTAAGGTGACAATTACAATATTAAAGTAAAACTATAATATTATTGAAATTTAAAATTATTAAATTCTTCTAAGAAGACTATAAATTGTTGCGTATGTACGAAACAATGAACGCGTTAGTTTAAATATATAAGTTTTGATTTGACACTTCTTTTTTTTCTGTGTAGCTTTAAACGAGACTTAAATATATGTCTATCTTTATCTTTCTTTTTAAATAAATAAAGACGGACATATATAAGTTTCGCTCAAAGCTAAAATAATGTTGGTGCCTTAATCACATTCTCGTAAATTGCTTTCTCTATTGTATACGCATTTTGAATTTGCATATACGATTGGATACTTTTAAAAGTCCACATAAATATGAAGCATAATTCACCATCTTTTTAACGAGAAAGTCACTATAAAATTCCTAAAACGATAAAATCATTTCGTTTAATCGAATCTATAAATCCGCAGGCGGGTAAGATATTGGTGGAGAAAAGAGGGGCAAGAAATTGAACGTATGCGGGATGCATTTTGCGTAACTTTGCTCGCGCGTGTCGCCGATGTACTCCATTACATTAAATACCAAGTGCCTTCCATTTGTCTCGGCAGGCATCGCGTTTAAGAAGCCCTCGTCGGAGACCAGCTGAGGAGACCCGCACCGCGGTATCCTTATTTCGATCGTCCTTTTTCCCGGTCTCCTCGTTTTACCTCGTGCCTCGAGGTTGGCGAGAATGGGGCCTCGTCATTATCGCCTTTTCCGTTCAAGGCGACCGACGCCTTCCCCGGGAGGCTCCCGCGAGACGCTCTCGCAGCTCTTCTCCGTGACACTTCAATAAGTCGCCGGGATCGAAACTCGAAGAAGGCGTGCCCCAGTCACGGTGTCGGCGGTCGTTAGTCGGGGATCGTTCCTGTGCTCGTAACTATTCCGGATTCTGCCTGCCTCTCGAAGAGTCGCTGAACTTCCTCGGGCAGCGATCGAGAAGTCCCTTCTAGACTCGTCTCGGTATATTACCGTCGTAAAGATCCTGTTTTCTTCATTTTACTCGCGTCCCTACTTTCCATTCCACTTGTCGCAGTCCGATTAATTAGCAGCGCAAATGTCTAGTAAACATCTTCCGAGAGTTAAACATGGGATTTATTAAACATAGATTCTTTATACAAGGCTTTTAGTACCCTTGCGCATCGCTCTTTTAATTTATTTTCATTCTGATTAGATATAAAAATTATTTTTTTTTATCTAAGATGTATAAGGTTATTTTTTATCTTAGGTAAAACAGATAATTTTTATCTAAAAAAAGATAATTTTTATCTAAAAAGAAAGAGAAGGATGAAATAGAGATATGAGTTTTCAGATATGCAAGTTGTATACGAGTAGGTATATTAAACACACATTTATATAATCATGTTTTCTGTCATTTTGCTGGTTTTCTTTAAGAGGATAATAATGCTTAGATATCGTATAATTTCTGTGGATGTTGTTACTTTTGCTTTTCACTCGTGACTTGTGCATTTCGCGAGACAGTCGAGATTGAAATTCATCGGCAATCTTCTCGTTCGAAGTAATTTGCTCGCGTAGTTCTAATGGTTCAATTTGCAATATTTACACGCTTAACGCATCTGTCGTTTATATTTTCTTTTAGTTTGATGTCCCTATCATCGATTTTTTTCCTACTCAGTTGTATGATTCTCGATTCGCTCTAGTTATTGAGTTTTTTGCTTTCTTAGAGAAACTTTCCACAGAATAAACTCGTAATTATTCTTGATAGAACTCTCGATGTGCATTTGATTTAGTAATAATTTAATTTATATAGCATCCCGCTCTTTTTAATTCTTATTCTCTTCCTGCCTGTTGCCACCGAGCACGAGCCATCCTCTTTTTTTCAGTCCTTTTAACGACGCGCGCGACTCCCTTCAAAGGATCTAATCCTAGCGAAGGATTTCCTGCGATCCGATCACGCCTCCTGCATTCGATTCTACTAATTAGAAACTGCTCTATCGAACGTCAGTTAAACGATTAACTACACGCCCGAAGATTAATCGATCGAGAGAGGAAGGAAGTGGAGGGGGAAGGATAGAAGATGAGAGGCTGGGGCAAAAGAAAGAGAGAGATACTCTCAACTCGCTCGTTTCTAGATCCCAGTCGAACTGTCATTTTTCTTCATATCTTTCTTGTTCCAATTTCATTATTACACTCATACAGAGTTAGGGAGTGCTCGAATGAGAGAAAGAGAGCGAAGGGAAGTCTGTTTGTCCGTTTGATCGACCGCGATTGTGCACCGGCTCGGTGAAGTTCTTGCGAAGGAATTAAATCGTCGATTTTATCTACGTCGCGCGACGATCGGCAAGAAACTCGAATTTATTGTTGAAGTTGTACATACTTTGTCGGCGAGACGCCGAGGAGGATTGAATAGTCTCGTGAGGGACGGTGCGCGTTTTCATCGATGCTCTCACACCGATTAATTTGTTGATCCACTTCTTACCGTTCGCGACGAGAATTAAATTCGATGACTTCATCATTTTCTGCACCCCAAGTATTTTTATTCTTATCGTTATGCTTAAATTCTTATTCTTATATTCATATCTTATTTCGTTTTAGATAGGAATTATGTAAAATTCACTTCTTATTTGTCAGCTATTTTATTCCATTCGACAATAGTTCAACGATACATTTATAGCGCAAATTAATTTCCCTATTTCATCGCGATAAATTTTTATGATTATATAAAGAAAAAGATTTGACATTAATAATTAAAATAAATGAATAATTAAAATAAATAATATTAGTTATATAATAATTAAATAATATTAGTTATATAATTATAATATTAATCAATATTATAATTATATAACGTAGACAAGAAATTAAGTAGCTTATTAAAACGAAAGCATGAAATATGTGCAATGTAATATTTTAGTACAGTCGTGATGAAATAACCCAGAGTATGACAAATAAAAAGATATTTAATTATCTCAGATTAATGACTTTGACATGAAAGTCTGCTCAAGCTCGTATACCGTCGACATGAAAAATTTATACGAGCTTCCTTATCAATTAAAAGCTAGCCTTTTACCTCTACTGAACGGCTACCATCTCGTTTCTCTTAGCAGTTGTAACGGAGCCGGTACAAGCTTTGATTAAAATCAAACGAGTCCTGCCTGTGTACGATCGAATCGATCCGATCTATTTTGCCGATCGCTGTCGGAAGATCGAGTGTATTCGCTCGTTCGTCATGTTCTCCGTGTAATTCCTGTAACTGGTTTACAGCAAGGATATATACATGCGTGTCAAAAGGAGACAGGATACGATTGTCGTACATTATAAAATTCATTCGCGTCATTTTATGAATTTCCCACATGATCTTTGCGTGAAATTGTTACATATCGATTTGAATGTATATAAATAATATTTAAAAAATAATACTATTAAAATAATATTTAAAAAAAAAACAAGTAAATTATTTTTTTATCGTGTCGAAGGAAAATAAAATCTCTCATTATTAATCTAATATAGATTACATATCAATTGTATATAAAAAATACACAGT